CTGGTATTTTTTCACGTGGGCTTCTAGTAATTTCCCCTGGTCTCTGGGTTGAGCAGTTGGACTGACTGACTGACTCTCTACCCCACCATGCCATCATACAAGCGATAAACACCCTATGACACAAAGTGCCATCATGCGGATGAGGTTCGCCGTGGAGAGGTCCAGGAAACCGCATTCAGACAATTGGCCACATTTCTGGTCTGCCTATATTGCGGCCCCTGGAAAAAGCCAGGGTGGGGCTTCAAAGAACAAAAAATTGCGTCATAAAAAGGACGTAAGGATTTTGAGCGGTTGGAAATCGGAAGGAGTAGACTAACGGCGCTGCCTGGGCAAAAATGTGGAGTTAAAAATCTACCCCTAAGTATTTCAGGATCCTGGCTGGTGCTACGGAGTTCGTGCACTGCGTTGAGATTCTTTAGACTCAGTCTTGAGTTAGAAGTATAAGGGAGCAGTAATGGGTACCATGATGTTGATCTATGGTATAAACCATAAACCATAAACCATAAACCATTCTGTCTGAAGTAGTTTCCTTCACACACACACACACACGCACACACACAAACACACATATCACCATAGTCTTCTGATTCTACTTTCGTTAGGTAATGTAATGATTATGCATGCAAACCTTCGGGCGTGACGTTTATTCCCTCCTGGCTGCTTCCTGGACAAGCTGACATCATGAGATCAAAAAGATCCTAAGGTCCCTTTTCCACGCCTTTAGGCTAGACCTATATTTGTTTAGACCAATCGCTGGGTGCCTTTACTTCCCAGGACTGCACCTGATAGCTACTCAAGGCTGGGTTGACCCTGGAGCCAAGGTCATTAAAAAAGTCTGGCCCCCTTCAGGAACCGAACCTATGACTTTCCGACCCGCAGGCGAGCGTCTAGCCGCTAGACCACCAAAGGCACAAGGCATGTGGTTAATCAACCCAGATCCGTCGTTATCTGTTGTTTTACTCTTGTGGAACCATTGGTGAGAGAGTCGGAGCACCTATAGATCTGTCTCGAGTGCTGTGATTGTAATCCTGACTAATCATTATTCAGATGGAGATTTTATAACCTCTAGGAGTCAAACTGTTAGGTAACAGTCCAAATGAGGAGCCAGGGCTGGATTTATGTATAACCTAAATAAGGTACAGGTTAGGGCCTCACAATATGCAAGGGCCTCACAATATGCATGGGTCTAAACATTCATTTATATTTACAAATACAATGTTCTTTCATTATTTTTAACTACCCCAACCCCTTTTTTCGTTGAATTGTTCATGAGATGGGGCGTCGCAGGTGGACCCAGTCTAAAATGGGTACCAGGATGGCTGTCCTGGGAAAGTAAAAACGGCCGGCGTAATGCTGACCATATTACCCACCCAGTGCCAATTGGTCTGTAAAAATATGGGACGCTCTTCTCATATGCCCGATGCGCCTAAGGCCTGAAGATGGATCCTTTCTTACTTTTACTTAAACCCCCTCCCCTCCCGCCCTTTTTCTGTTTACAGAAATTGTCTAATATTATTTTATGTATATTACCAGGCTGTCGGCCCTGTGGCTAAGTCGATGCGAACGCTTCGTAATTCTGGGATGCCAGGTTCGATCCCAGCTGCGAGCCATGCACCTTGCGTTGGTTTCGACAGTGGTATCAAGAAAGCCGACCGTTCAGAGGCAATGGCAAACTACTGGACGTAAATTTGTCTAGAAAAACCACACAACAGCCAGGGGCTGTTGGGGTTGGTTCTGCAACGTCCTGTAAAGGATACGCAACTAACCTTATTACCAGGCTTGTCTTATTCTAACTTGTTGTAACCCATTTAAAGACGTATATATTTTTACAGTTTTCTAAGATTAACGGTGAACCGAAGAAGAACAACAAGAGAAGTGAGGTGGCTTAATTTCAAACGTTAGGGTGCCTCAGTGCTTTGTTTACTTTAGGGTCTCATCATGTTTAAATCTGGCCCTGCTTAGAACTTTACGTGTTCTGTTTTGTTACAGGTGTTGCAAATGCATTTCCGATATTTTCTTGTTGTTGTTTATGTTCACCGGCTGTTAACTTTGAAGGAAAGTACTGGTTGTTTGTCCATTTCTGGACTTTCGCTTTTCCCAGGACCTGGGTTTTCCATATGCATCTACTTCTGAATATTGCCTGAGCAGAGTATTTTTGTATATTTCACACTGGTGAATTCTATCTCGGGGTAAATTTTTTTTTTAAATAACCATTCTAGCCTTGCTTTTAATCCGTGCATCCATCTACCCATCAATCCACCTATCCCTATACCCATTCATTTATTATTTCACATATTATACTCTCACATCCACCTATCTATCCATTCTCCACCTGTCCGTCCATCAATTCCATTTATTTATCCACCCGTTTTATTCCTTTCCATCCACCCATCCACCCACCCACCCATCCACCAAACTATCTGCCCCCATCCATCTATTCATCCATCCATCCACTCATCCATCTACCCACCCACCCATCCATCTACCCATCCACCCACCCATCCACCCACCCATCCACCCATACATCCATCTATACATGCTCCCATATATCCACCCACACATCCATCCACCCATACACCCACCCACCCATCCACCCACCTATTCATCCACCCACCCATCCATCATTTATCCATCCATCCATCTATCCATCCACCCATCCATCCATCCATCCATCCATCCATCCACCCACCCACCCATCCATCAATTTATCCATCCATCCATCCACCCAGACCCATCCATCCACCCACCCACTCATCCATCCATCCACCCACCCACCATCCATCCATCCATCCATCCATCCATCCATCCATCCATCCATCCATCCATCCATCCATCCACCCATACATCAGCCCACCCACCCATCTATCCACCCATCCATCCACGCATACATTCACCCACCCACCCATCCATACACCCACCCACCTATTCATCCACCTAACCACCCATACATCCACCAAACCATCCATCCAACTATCCACCCATCCATCCATCCACCCATACATCCACCCACCGATCCATCTATCCACCCACCCACCTATCCATCCACCTACCCACCCATCCAGCTAACTCCTAACAACCTCATCTTATCATTGATCTGACCACCCTCTCACCTCCAGAACTCCATGGCGCCAGATTTTAGACCAAGCGTATTCTCCATTTGCCACTCACTGCTTGTACAGTAACTGTCGCTTTGCGTGGTTGTGCGTGTTTTCTGCGACTTGTGCGAAAAAGGAAGTTTGGTTCGTAAATGTTAACGATATTGCTTTTTCAGTTTACAACTCGTTATGGGATTTCGTGTGTTGGCTTGTATGTCTGTGTGTATTGACATCTCTCTCTCTCTCTCTCTCTCTCTCTCTCTCTCTCTCTCTCTCTCTCTCTCTCTCTCTCTCTCTCTCTCTCTCTCTCTCACGCTCTCTTTGTATGTTCTTGCCGGTTTTGTTTTACTTTTTGTTTTGTTAAAATGTTGTGTTTTAGTTTCGCCAGTTTTACGATGCCTCATTGTCAACCCGCAGATCTTCCACCTGGCCAACATCACGTGACATGACTACCATATTAAATGGCGGACATTAACGATCCTTGTCTAGCTTTGAATAACATTGAACAAATTAATAGCTAGGTTGTAAATTTCCTTCTAGGGAATCACACACGACATTAAGTCATCTTTACTCTGCTGTTACGAGCTCCCATTATCAAATAATGTTACAGCAAATATCGACTGATTTGTCTTTCATTTTACGTTATGTGTTATAGAGAAGTTGAACCCCCCCCCCCTCGCCCCCTCAAAGATGGTGTGGCGGTGTAAGGTAGGCTTGGAGCGGGGAAGGGGTTTTGATATGATGCTGGGGCGCTCCGAGGGCCTGAGAAATGTTATGGGATTCATCATCATCATCATCAGGTGCCTTGCCGACAGGCGTGGGCGATCATGCCTCTCCATAATCCACGATCTCCTGCAGCATGTATCAGTTCGTGTGCCGACACACCTCCATGCCATGCAACAAGACTGTCAAGCATCTTCTCTCGTTGTCTTCCTCTATCCCTCCTTCCACAAATCTTTCCAGTGGACACAACATGTTCTATTTTTCCTCTTCTCATAACTTGGCCGAAAAATGATGATGGGATCAATAACTTATAAAAATCCGTACTAATGGCAATTCGATACCACATGCGAAAAGGAAACATAATATTACTGAGAAATATCGTTGGTTTCATTTGGTTCTAAATATTCTCATTACTGAAGACACCCAAGGGTTTAGAAAAAAATTTTTGATGTGTTTTTCGAAGTTTCTATTTTTTATTTTTGCCGTTGTTACCAGAAACCGAGGGGGCTGCGTGGTCTCGGGGCACTGTGTCCGTCTCGAGGGCTATAGATAAGATATAAAACCGAACAAAAAGTTTATCAGCGAGCTTCACAATATAACAAACACAAACTATATATATATATATAAAAGTGTGTGTGTGTTTATGAACAAATCTGTACCGTTAGTAAAAAGTAAAGGTCCCTTTTCCACGCCTTTAAGCGTATAGGGCATATAGGGCTAGACCTATATTTTTATAGACACATCGGCACAAGATGGGTGATGTGGTACACGCCGGCCGCCTTTACTTTCCGGCACTGCACCCGGTACCCACTTAAGGCTGGGTCGACCTAGGAGCCAAGGTCATTTTTGAAAAAGTCTGGCCCCTCCAGGGAGCGAACCCACGACCTTCCGATCCTCCGCGAGCGTCTAGCCGTTCGGCCAATCTATACCGTACTTTATGTATATTCTAAAATGCTGCATCTCTCTCTCTCTCTCTCTCTCTCTCTCTCTCTCTCTCTCTCTCTCTCTCTCTCTCTCTCTCTCTCTCTCTCTCTCTCTCTCTCTCTCTCTCTCTCTCTCTCTCTCTCTCTCTCTCTCTTCCCTTGTTTGCCTTTGTGCCTTTGTTTGAATGTGTGTTTGAATACAACGTTTTGCTCCTCTGTTTATGTAAACCGCTTTAAGGTGTTCCTTTTCCATGCCCAGATGTTGCATCAGTGTATCCAGGTCACGCTCGTTCTACTTGTGGCGGTCCTCGTCTCCACGACCTTGACGTCAGCAGACAACACCAGGTCATCCCCGGGTCGACTTCATGTCACAGAGTGTGACACCATCGCCAGAGTCTCCCACGTCTGCTACCAGGTACATTTTAAGTAAAGACTACAATTCTTGGGGTCTCCCATGTCTGCTACCAGGTACATTCAAAGTAAAGAATACAATTCTTGTGGTCTCCCACGTCTGCTACCAGGTACATTCAAAGTAAAGACTACAATTCTTGTGGTCTCCCACGTCTGCTACCAGGTACATTCAAAGTAAAGACTACAATTCTTGTGGTCTCCCACGTCTGCTACCAGGTACATTCAAAGTAAAGACTACAATTCTTGTGGTCTCCCACGTCTGCTACCAGGTACATTGAAAGAAAATTGACAGGGACACTTTTTCTACGACCTGTTGCGTGTAGAGTATATTCTACTTACCCAGTATTTACCCAGATTAGTCGGGCATTCTGTGAGCCAGTTTCAGACGTATAGTATGCTGAGTGTGTGTATGTGTGTGTGTGTACGTGCGCATATGCCATTCGCATGTGTATGATGTATTCATCCTTGGTAAACGGGATGGCAAGGGAAAGGTCGACCTTAACGCTAGGAACTGACAGTCTGCATAAAAAATTAAAAAAAAAAAAAAAAAAAACCCAGATCTGCCGGTTCCTCGCATACAAGGCAGATGCATTCTGACTTCGACGAAAATACTTCTAATTAGCTTACCTTTACGACATGCTTGTTAAGGCGAAGTGATTCTGTGCCACCCCCCCTCCCAGCGCCCCCTCCCCTAAAGGAGCCCCAGATTTCACACAGGTAGTCTTGTTCACGAACCTTTGAGTTCTTGTTGAAGTTTTAAGTGCACATCCGTTTTACAGATCAGAATTATTTGTGTGCCAACTGTTTTGATTCCTCTCCTTCCGAACAGATGAGCACAGACTTCGGAGGAAATACTTCCAGTTAGTCCCCCTCTTAAGATATGCTTGACAGTGGGCAGTGAGCCCAATCTCCTCTTCCTCCAAAATGTCTCCCTTTCTCTTCCCGAACCCACACGGGGAGGATACGAATCAAAGAGGGACGAATCCCATAACGATCTTCAACTGAATAACAACATGACTTACACTGTGGGAGTCTAAGTTTACCAAGGACATGAGATTTGAAGCTCTACAAGAGTGGTTTAAAGTTATTGTCCTTTCGGCCCATAGGGGAATTCCCGTTTCCATTTCTTGCCTTCTTTGTAACAACCGATCTAGCAAGCTTCACAATGTTCAGATCAATGTTTGTGACACATTCGTACAGTTTCACATTTGGCTTCTCCCACAAACACATTCTCAAACCGTTAAGACCACTGTCTTTCCCGCGCATATCTTCACATTTTGCTCAGATCATTATCTTCCACGCACCTATTTTCATTTTTGGGTCAAATCATTATATTTCCCACACATATCTTCACATTTTGGTCAAATCATTATATTTCCCACACATATCTTCACATTTTGGTCAAATCATTATATTTCCCACACATATCTTCACATTTTGGTCAAATCATTATATTTCCCACACATATCTTCACATTTTGGTCAAATCACTATCTTCCACAAACATATCTTCACATTTTGGTCAAATCATCATCTTCCACACACATATCATCAGATTTTGGTCAAATCATTATCTTCCACACACATATCTTCCCATTTTGGTCAAACCATTATCTTCCACACACATATCTTCACATTTTGGTCAAACCATTATCTTCCACACACATATCTTCACATTTTGGTCAAATCACTATCTTCCACACATAAATCTTCACATTTCGGTCAAATCATTATCTTAAACACATATTTCTTCTCATTCTCTCTTGGTCTCCATTTGTTTCCCTTTCCCATAACCCCACCCTCCCCCTTGTTACTACAATTACCATGTGCAGCCCTCGGCATTACGAACCAGTAGATAAAGTAATATACGAGTCATCGCCTACGTGTCCACTCACAGAAATAACAAAAGTAAATTATCTATAACACACAACTAGCATGGGGTGTTTATACACTTGGGGGCGAATGGTCATCTGTTGGGCGTGCTCATGCATTGAGGCAGTTCTGCCGCTACCTAAATATCGGGCTGTCATTTGTACAGTGATCCTTCGGGATCGTCACTGGAGCTAAGGTGTTCGTGATTTGTGAGATGATCCTGGCAAGTGACTAGCTCTTCTACGGAAGGAGCGAGCTTTAGCCATATAGTATAAAACCCATTGCATTGAAGTCGAACTCCTCCAATCCTAAACTGGTTCAAATACCTGCATTAAGAGTATCTTAATTTACAGTATTTTCATTAACAGTATCTGCATTAAACGTGCCTGCATTAATAGTATCTTCATTAAGAGTATCTGCAAATCAGCATTAACATTTGCATTAGGAGTACCTGTATTAAACGTATCTGCATCAACAGTATCTGCATCAACAGTATCTGCATTAACAGTACCCTTATTAGTAGTATCTTCATTAACATTACCTTCATTAATAGTATCTTCTTTAACAGAGCCATCATTAGCAGTCTCTTCATTAACAGTACTTTTATTAATAGTATCTTCATTAACAGTACTTTTATTAATAGTATCTTCATTAACAGTACTTTTATTAATAGTATCTTCATTAACATTACCTTCATTAAAAGTATCTTCATTAAGATTCCCTTTATTAATAGCATCTTCATTAACAGAAGCTTGAAAAAATAGTACCTTCATTAACAGTACCTTCAATAATAGTATCTTCATTAACAGTACCTTTATTACCAGCATCTGCATTAACAGTACCTTCATTAACAGTACCTTTACTTATAGTATCTTCGTTGACAGTACCTTTACTTATAGTATCTTCATTAACAGTACCTTTACTTATAGTACCTTCTTTAACAGTACCTTTACTTATAGTATCTTCATTAACAGTACCTTTACTTATAGTACCTTCTTTAACAGTACCTTTACTTATAGTATCTTCTTTTACAGTACCTTTACTTATAGTATCTTTATTAACAGTACCTTTACTTATAGTATCTTCATTAACAGTACCTTTATTACCAGCATCTGCATTAACAGTACCTTCATTAACAGTACCTTTACTTATAGTATCTTCGTTAACAGTACCTTTACTTATAGTATCTTCATTAACAGTACCTTTACTTATAGTACCTTCTTTAACAGTACCTTTACTTATAGTATCTTCATTAACAGTACCTTTACTTATAGTACCTTCTTTAACAGTACCTTTACTTATAGTATCTTCATTAACAGTACCTTTACTTATAGTATCTTTATTAACAGTACCTTTACTTATAGTATCTTCTTTAACAGTACCTTTACTTATAGTACCTTCTTTAACAGTACCTTTACTTATAGTATCTTCATTAACAGTACCTTTACTTATAGTATCTTCATTAACAGTACCTTTACTTATAGTATCTTCATTAACAGTACCTTTACTTATAGTATCTTCATTAACAGTACCTTTACTTATAGTACCTTCTTTAACAGTACCTTTACTTATAGTATCTTCATTAAAAGTACCTTTACTTATAGTATCTTCATTAACAGTACCTTTACTTATAGTATCTTCATTAACAGTACCTTTACTTATAGTATCTTCATTAACAGTACCTTTACTTATAGTACCTTCTTTAACAGTACCTTTACTTATAGTATCTTCATTAACAGTACCTTTACTTATAGTATCTTCATTAACAGTACCTTTACTTATAGTATCTTCATTAACAGTACCTTTACTTATAGTATCTTCATTAACAGTACCTTTATTACCAGCATCTGCATTAACAGTACCTTCATTAACAGTACCTTTACTTATAGTATCTTCGTTAACAGTACCTTTACTTATAGTATCTTCATTAACAGTACCTTTACTTATAGTACCTTCTTTAACAGTACCTTTACTTAAAGTATCTTCATTAACAGTACCTTTACTTATAGTACCTTCTTTAACAGTACCTTTACTTATAGTATCTTCTTTAACAGTACCTTTACTTATAGTATCTTTATTAACAGTACCTTTACTTATAGTATCTTCTTTAACAGTACCTTTACTTATAGTACCTTCTTTAACAGTACCTTTACTTATAGTATCTTCATTAACAGTACCTTTACTTATAGTATCTTCATTAACAGTACCTTTACTTATAGTATCTTCATTAACAGTACCTTTACTTATAGTATCTTCATTAACAGTACCTTTACTTATAGTACCTTCTTTAACAGTACCTTTACTTATAGTATCTTCATTAACAGTACCTTTACTTATAGTATCTTCATTAACAGTACCTTTACTTATAGTATCTTCATTAACAGTACCTTTACTTATAGTATCTTCATTAACAGTACCTTTACTTATAGTATCTTCATTAACAGTACCTTTACTTATAGTACCTTCTTTAACAGTACCTTTACTTATAGTATCTTCATTAACAGTACCTTTACTTATAGTATCTTCATTAACAGTACCTTTACTTATAGTATCTTCATTAACAGTACCTTTACTTATAGTATCTTCATTAACAGTACCTTTACTTATAGTATCTTCATTAACAGTACCTTTACTTATAGTATCTTCTTTAACAGTACCTTTACTTATAGTACCTTCTTTAACAGTACCTTTACTTATAGTATCTTCATTAACAGTACCTTTACTTATAGTATCTTCATTAACAGTACCTTTACTTATAGTATCTTCATTAACAGTACCTTTACTTATAGTATCTTCATTAACAGTACCTTTATTATCAGTATCTTCACTAACAGCTGAAGATTGGTAAAGTCTCTGTGTTAAGATCAGTTGATTCGGGTTGGGCATGCACAAATAATCTTGTGTTTCTGTTTTTTTTTTTTTTTTTGACAACAGTGCAGCAGGAGACACGAGACTGAGTTCAACTATATCTACTTTAACTGCTGCATGGGTGACGCAACCATTCGGGAATACTGCGATGCCATCTACACAGAAGCACCTAAACGGGGCGGTCTGCATGTGCGTTAACTATGAACCAACAAACAGCTGGTTGATTTGATTTCACATGTGTTAATGCACCTTGCGACAAAAATTAACAACTGTTAGTTTTTATTGAGAAAATATTTATAGGCGCCCGTCGTGGTCCAATTTCCCGAAAATAAACTTTGTAAAATATGGATCTACTAAAACCAGAGAAACTTATTTTTAAAAATGTGCTGACACTCTTAATATTATTAATTATTATTATTATATTATTATTATTAAAGCTTTTTTCACAATTAAGAAACAATAATTATGGACATGAATAAGGCAAATTGGATAATTACAGATTTGATATCACAGTCTTTCAAATTTCATTATAAAATATTTAATTATTAAATTAAAAAGGGAGTGACGACTTTATATTATTGCTCAACGATGTCTCTTGTTTGTTTAAGGAAAGGTCAAATAAAAGAGAAGGTAGTATAGAATGTAGATATGGTTTAGTAAAAGAGTATAACTTATCATTTTCCGACTGTTGTGAACTAAAAATAAATAAATAAATATGATTTATCAGCTCGTCGTTTTCAAATTGATTTGAATTAATCTTGTCCTTCTTCTTACCTTTTTCTTTCACCGCTTTAGGTGTCGAGGAAGAAATGAGGTTCTGCTTCTTTCTCTTCGGGTCGCCCCAACCATACACACGACGTGCTGTTGTAGAGTTTCTCTGATCTTATCCTTCCATCTTGTTCTTGGTCTACCTTGTATTTTACAAAGGGCCGCATTAATTTCCCGTGATGCCTTAATTCTGTCTCGGAGTAAGTTTTTTTTTTTAATAACCATTCTAGCCTTGCTTTTAATCCGTTTATCCATCTACCCATCAATCCATCTACAAAAGTCTATCCATACACCCATCAGTTAATTAATCCACATGTTACACTTTCCCATCCACCCATCTATCCATCCTCCACCTATCCGTCCATCCATTCCATTTATCTATCCACCGGTTTCAATCCTTTCCATCCACCCAGCTATCCACCCAGCCCTCCCCCAACCACCCATCCACCCATCTACCCACCCATCCATCTATTCATTCATCCACTCATCCATCCATCCACCCACCCATCCATCTATCCACCCATCCATCCACTCATCCATCCATCCATCAACACATCCATCCATCCATCCATCCATCCACCCATGTATCTATCCATCCACCCACCCATCCACCCATCCATCCACCCACCCATCCATCTATCCATCCATCCACCCACCCATCCACCCATCCATCCACTCACCCATCCATCAAAATTTGTCAGACCACACCGTCTCCCCATTTTTCACGAGGACTTAAGATTTTGCCCGCCCTCATCTGAGCCGTCTTAACAGCATATGGGCCCATTGAAAAGCCAGTGTGCGGAAGCCCCTACGCAAATCATTCAAGGAATAAAATGTAAATGAGAACTTGACATACAACGATTAGCATGGAGCCTATATGTCCGTGGAGGACGCCGAGCGAGTGTCCAGCTTCCCCATGTGTTCAGACGGCCCTGGTGTTCCCTTGTGTATGTTATTCAAAATGTTTACAATAAACAGTAAAATTAAAATTTATTTATCGAAATGAAAAAAAAAAAAAAAAAAACTTACAGTAAGCTGGGGAAAAAAAATTTCTGTTTTTGTGTGTGTACGGCCACTTTATTTGTATTTGAAGAGATTTCTCCTATTAATTTTTTTTTCTAAATTGCAGTCTTTGATCAGATTCTCAAACAAATCTTCTTCAACATATCTGCTTTTATCTTTGTAAATAAAAATACTTAAAAAAAAAAAAAAAAAAAAAAAAAAGAAAGCACCCAGCCTGCCTTGCTGCATTGTTGCTCTGATGGTATTAAAAAAAAAAATATAATTTAACCTAGAAAATAAACGCTGAGCTTCAAGGCTTTTTAAAAATGTGATGTCTCCCTCCCTTCATGATACCTCAGGTATGTGCTTAGTGCACCCTTCACTTCAAGAGTGCAATTTTATGGATATCCATGAGCTACGGAGTTCGTGATCTGTGCGGCGGTCTCGACAGGCGGCTAGCCTTTTACGGAGAGAGACCGAAATATGGAATAAAACCCGGTGCTGTGAAATCGATCCTCTCGATTATAACCTTGACTTTTAACCTTTATCTTCTCTTCGTTTGGTTTATGCCTTGTATGGTATAGCGTCACAAGTCGTTCCCTCTAAGTGACCAAACCATTTGATTTGAATGGTGTTGTGCCGACTTCTTCTATTATGGCCTCATTTTTGCTTTTATCTCTTCTGGGTTCGCACTGCAGCCCTTCTCAGACATCTCATTTCTATTAGGGCTGTACCGAATATTCGCTTCGTATTCGCTTCGGGGCCGAATAGTGGACCTATTGACTAGTCGGTATTCGGCCGAAGAGTTGCCGTCGGACTGAATACGAACAGTAGTTACACCCTTACACCCGCTTCTGCATACATGGCCTTAATGCTGACAACATGGAACGATTGGTTTTGTTGAAAGCTAATGCAGATTTTCTGCATTAACTAAGCTGTCAGTGACAATTTCAAAGTTCAGTTACTTGTTTTGTACTTAGGATTCTTTCATTCCTAGTTATTAGTTACCACAGACTGACTGAAGGATGCAAGACATATAATGTTTTTAAATGTTTACTATTCTGTACGAATACTAACTAGACATGGAACGAATATAAACTACGGCCACATCCAAGTCGATAATATGAACATCGAACGAGCGGAAACATATAAGCATTTGGGTGCAAACTTCAACTGCTCCAACATGCTGAGAGAAGAAATAAAATCTAGAATACAATCTATAAATAAAGTATACTATGCCCTTCAACATCTGCTAAAGTCAAAGTGTCTGTCTCGCAACACCAAGATCAAAATATATAGAACGTTGATAAGACCAGTCGTTTTATATGGCTTTGAAACTTGAAGCAGAACTAAAATAGATGAGGCCTTTTTACAGGTTTTCGGAAACATCCTTACGACCCATAAAAGATGCTAACAGCGGAGAATGGAGAGTGAGAAGCAACAACGTAACACATAATCTGTTTAAATCACTATAGATCACTGGCATGAATGGGCTTAGACCACGAGGCAGACAAGAAAGAAGTTCGAGAGATAATGTCCAGCCAGATCTGCAAACAACTGGTATCACAAATTGTGAAGAGAAGGCCAGCCAGAGAGATGAATGGAGACGAGTGATATCTGCAGCAGTAAACCTCAAGGGCTCAGAATGCTAAAGAAGAAAATTACTATTCTGTGCTACTTTATGTTAAGTAAAAGTGCAGAGTACATTTGACATTGTGAATGTTTTTGTTTTATCGGTACAGCCCTAATTTCTATGGTTAATTTTTGTTTCTGGTTGGTTGGGAGAGATCATGTCTTGCACTTGTAGCATAGGGTGGAAATAAATATGCATTGTATGTGATGTATTTTGGGGTGCTGACAGGGATTGCCTTGTGTTGTCTCAATACTTCGTTTGCTAAACTGCATCTGTTGTTAATTTCTTTATCAAATTTCCCATCTTCGGTGAATGTTGCTCCCAGATATTTAAACTCAAATTCCTGTCAAATGTCTTTGCACTTTTCTGCTATATTTAGATTATGTGCATCTTACGTCAGCAAACCACATTAATTTAATTTTCATCGTTTCCATTATTTCAGTAATCTCTTCTATGTTATTTCCCTTGCCTGCGGTGTTTAGAGTTGCAATCTCGTATTTCGCTCTTCTATCTCGTTTTCTATAAAAATAACAAAGTCGAATACCGCAGGATCATGTCTCTGCAATCTCCGTAGCAGTAATAATTCTAATGACAGCTTACTTGGCCTGTCGCTACTTCATCAGAGCCCATTTGAATGAATAAAGAATAAAAAAAAATTAAATTAAAGATGTTGCAAACTGTGCATTGATTGTCTTTACTGCGATTAAAGGGATACCAATGTTGTAATGATGTCTGCCTGTTAAGCTGACACAGAAGCTGTAGTGTACTGAGGCTCTCTGTGTGTTCAAGCCGTTTAACTCACTCTCTACAGGTCGTGGGTTCGTTTCACTTCTGCGTCGTTCGGTTCATGAGTGCAAGTCTTACACAGACCCCTCCCACCCCCCCCCCCCCAGGAATCGTCACCGGAACTATGGTGTTATTGTTTTGTGCGATGCTATCAGCAGGCGGCTAGCCGTTCTGTGGAGAGACCCCAGGTAATATGGAATCAAATCCGGTGTAATGTCGATCCTTTTCCCTATAACAGTTTCATTTAGCTAATGATGTGTTGGTTGGTGCAGCACTAACGTCTCGTACAAAGTTGTAAAACAAAAAGTAGAGGACCCTCTTCCATGCCTTCATGTGTGTTGGCAAACGGCAGATGTTGTGGTTAGCATCACACTGGCCGCCCTTGCTTTCCAGGACTGTACCTGGTACCCACTCAAGGCTGGGTCGACCTGGGAGCCAAAGTCATTTTTGAAAAAAAAAGTCCAGGCCCCCTTAGGAACCGAACCCACGACCTTCCGATTCACAGGCGAGCGTCTAGCCGCTACACCACGGTGACTTACCTCTCGAATACAGTTAGTAATTTATTATAGTGCTATTCTCTCATACTTTGATGTCGACCTGTCAAACATCTCCTCTCCTTGGTCTTCTTCTTTCTTGGCAAAAAGGTAAAGTCGAAAGATGTGAACCAGCGTCATTGTACATGGTTATAAACCATAAGTGCTCTGCCACCAGTACGGACAGCTGATACGAAACTGTCCGCCTGTGTCGCCGTCCGAACGCAAATCCATAGCTCTACCGACATTCCTCCATTTACCCCAGATTGTTAACTTTGGTACCTATTACCTAGAGGCTAGGTGAACCCCGGAAACCGCCCGGTTTCGAACACCAGCCGTGGGCTGCAGCGAGTCGCAGCTGGATTCGAAAGCGAGTCTCCTATCGACTGGGCTAACGGGGTCCCCTTTTTTCTTGTACTGCTCTTTTTATCAAATAAAACAGAGGTCCTGAAACAACCCAAAAAAGATGGTCATAG